AATGATTGACATATTGCAGTGCATTTTTGGGTGAAACCCCTGGAGTTGGTGTGACAAGAGTTGGCACATTCCAACAACTCTCTGACTTTCTGCCTAATTTTTTTTTCCCTTTGTCTGATGAAGTTGCTTGGATGAGCAACAAAACATCTCAGATTGACAAAGTTGTTCTGAACCAGGCTTCACAAAATCACAAAACAGACTCCTTGTCCCCCAAATACCCTTTTTATTTGGTTAATGTGAATTTCTAGCATTCACATCCAGAAAAGTCCCAGTAATTAGACTTTCAAGCTTTAATTGCAACCACAGACATTATCAATCCTTAGAGAGTTGCCACATTGGGAGCTTCTAGTCGCAACAGTTGTACAATGAAATAGCTGGCAAAGATTCTTTGTGAGGCACAAACTCAGATAAGCAAATCTTCACGATAATGTGAACGAATTGTCTCTTGCAAACTCCGCTGCCCTTTTGCTACCATTTATTCCCTATGGAAGGGGCCAGTCAGCATCCACATGTGCCTGTTCCCTTCTCCTGGCAGCTATGTGCATGTGCACATTGGGAACAGGCTCCAGCTGTTCTTCTGCCCCACTGATCTCCAACTCCGAAGGCAGCTGATAACTGGCCCCATCGCTGCCTCGGACACAGAGCCCTCATCAGAGCCTTCCCCAGACTCCAGGACTGGCCCATGTTCCTCTCCAACCTCCTCACTGTCTGAGTCTGCCACTAGCTCCTCTGGCCGCTGGCGGGCCACAACAAAAGTTTGGACTAGTTGCCATGATTCAACCTTTAGACCCCTTCGGCATGGATGATTGAGTCTTCATTGACACTTGAACGTTCCTTCTTCTTGCAACCCTTCCTTAGATGAAGGAAAGCTGACCTCTGTTATTCCGATCCTCTTAGCCAGCTGTCCAAAATAGGAAATGCTGCTGCCTACGTTCTTTCCTTGCTAGTCCAATAATGCTGACATCCAAGGTGACTTTGGAGGAAACTGTGGATCAGCAATTTCAGCACCACTCTTCTCTCCTGGGAAAGAGTAGCGATGCATCTGTGGAAGGTGAAGCCTCTTAATGACTCCTTCAGGGGTCCCAACAGAACAAGCAGCCAAGGATGGAGAAGCTGCCAATGTCAGAAAGAGGGGGTTAAAGCAACGTCTACAGAAACACACCTATTCTATGGCCATCAACCTCCAAGGTTGAGACTGAGATTGAAAAACAGCTTCCTCAAAATTTCCACCCATCCACTCTTAACAATCAGTTGCCACAGACCACCCTAGAAGTATGGAAGACAAGTAAGAAGCTACCAGGCGATTTGGGCATAACCATATGACTGGCATGTAGTCAGGAACAACCTTGGCCTGGATGGAAATCTCTAAATATTCTGACCAAAGATCAAAGGACAGAATCACAGAGTTTGGAGGGACATTGCGGATCTTCCAGTCCAACCCCCTGCTCAAGCAGTAGACGCTATACCAGTGATGGTGCACCTTTTTGGCACCAAGTGCCCAAACTGAGATGCACGCATGTGCGTATGTGCACTGGAGCACCAGAAACCCAAAGACCAGCTGGCCGATGCACATGCGCACTCCGGCCACCTGGTTTTTGGGTTTCTGGCCAACTAGTCTTCATGTGCACCGGAGAGCCGGAAAACCGAAGCCCAGGTGGGCTCTGTGTGCCACCTCTGGCATGCATGCCATAGGTTCACCACCATGGTCCTATACCATTTTAGAAAATGGTTGTCCAATGTCTTCTTAAAAATCTTCCAGTGACTTCTAAAGGCAAGCTGTTCCACTGGTTAATTGTTCTTTCAGGAAATTTCTGCATAGTTCTGGGTTGCTTTTCTCCATGATTCGTTTCCACTCATTGCCTCTTGTCCTGCCCTCAGGTGCTTTGGAGAATAGGTTGACCCCCTCCTCCTCTTTCGACAATCTAAGAAAAATGGGGCTCCCCAATAGAAGATGCTCTTTGTGAATATGGAGAATAACAATTCATTTCACACATGCCATGGTGCATACAATGTCCTTCAACATATTTGGGGGAAGACCTCATGCTGGCAAGAGAACATGCTGGGGATATGTCCAATCCTGGGCAAATGTCATTTAGTTTTAGCCCTACTTATTCTTTTAAAATGTGCTATAAGAGCCATAGTGGCGCAGTGGTTAGAATGCAGTACTGCAGACTAACTCACTGCTCACTCTAGGAGTTCGATTCTGAATGGTTGAAGGTTGACTTAGCCTTCCATCCTTCCAAAGTCAGTAAAATGAGAAGCCAAATTGTTGGAGGCAATATGCTGACTCTACAACCATGTAGAGAGGGCTGTAAAGCACTGTGAAGTACTATATACTCTAAGTCTAACTGTTAGTGCTACTGTATATTCCTAATATTGGTATAAGTTCTAAGCATATTGGTTTGTGAAACTATAGATAGCAGAGTATGCCATAATTTTAATATTTCAATCTCTAAATTCCCAACCAACATGCCAAAACGCTTACCATAAGGAATAGGATCAGAAATTTGTAGAACTGGAAACGTTAAATACAAGTCATCTGCTGAAAATCCTCTGCTGTATGGAGGCAGCAATGGGCAGCTGCTTATGTTGTGGTTGTGGGTTGTATCTGTTGGGCTTGTCCATGGCATAATATGGGTATCAAATAACTGCTAACAATCTGGGATTCTCTGGCAAATTCTGATTTGTTTCTAGTTTGTAATGCAGTGACTGAAAGGTTCCTCAGCAGACCTCAAGTCAATTTTAGCAATATGAGCAGTGAGGGAAGGGAGAGGGAAAGAGGGAGACGGGGAGAGGGAGAGAGAGAGAGAGAGAGAGAGACAGGCAGAGAGAGAGACAGACAGACAGAGAGGGGGAGAGAAACAAACACAGAGAGACAGAGAGGGGGAGAGAGAGACAGACACAGAGAGACAAAGAGAGGGGAGGAAGAGAGAGAGAGAGAGAGAGAGAGAGAGAGAGAGAGGGAGAGAGAGAGATATGACCCGGGACATGGCACGAAGGCAACATAGCCAGAGAACTGGTCTAACCCCCCTTTATTGTTCCAATTTTGTCCCCACATTTACAAGTCCTGGAGCAAAACTCTCACATGCACCTTCAGCAGCCTCTGGCTGTGAGTAGTCCAATAAACCAGGTTAACCAAACAGTAACCAGAGCAAGAAGTTCAGTGAAGCAGGCAAACCGGGTTGACAAGTGCACACGAGGCTCTACAGATTCAACGCTTGTTCCCAACAAATGCCCCTCCCACCGACACCTCCTTACATTACAGTCCTCAGGTGTGCCTTATGAAGAGAGGCAGGGCACTCTCCTCCCTCGTAGCCACTCAGCCTGCATTGTTCTTGCCTTCTCTCTTCTCTCCATGCTCTAGGATCGGGAGGGAGGGAGAGGGAGAGGGAGGGAGGGAGAGGGAGACTGGTACTGTCACTAGCTTCTTGGTATCTTCCTCTGCTGAGCAAGAGTGATGGCACAATGAATCCAATGGACTTTTAGGAATTGTACCAGTATTGTACAATTGTACTCCAATAGAATGGCATTACTTGTAGTTCAGAGTCGAACTGTTGGGTCCTTTCTGCTGTCTGAGATTGGTGGTCTTCTTGCAGATGTTTCATTACCCAACTCAGTCACCTCATCAGTGCTAGAAGGGAGTGGGATTTGCTCTCTGTTTATAGATAAGCTCTTTGATTGTCTCATCTTGAATGATGTGCTTCAACTCTCTGTTTTATTTATTGTCAAGACAGAGCTGATCACTGTGGGATTAATGTTCTTTTAAACAGACTCTGGTGTGTTTGATGCTTTCCTCAAGCGTCAGTGCATATAGTGTACAATTCTCCAACAATCTTTATTTCAGACTGGTGGCCTCATGTCTTTGGGGTTTGATTCTGTAAGCAATTTCAGAAAACCACCCAAACCTGTATTCTTACATCAGATTCTTTCTTATTATACTTGTGGTAATTAAGTGCTGTAAAAATATAGCAAAGAAAAAAAAAGTATATAAAAAATTGGGTGATCCTGTGGGTTGTTGCTGGCAGGGGTTGGCTTGGGGACAGAGAGGATCCCGTCTTTGAGAAGGGTATTCCCAACATGTCTAACAGCAGCCACAGATTCCATAGATCAAGTAGGTCTCCCTTCGGAATGAGACAATTCGCTGTGGCCAACTTGTCACAGCCAACTCACTGCAGGCAACTCACCATGGCCAACTCGCCGCTGGACATTTGAACATAACTATTTATTTTAAGGATTATTTTATTTTTTGGCATTCACGTTTCATTTTCGCCCTCCGTTTGCATCCTTTCTCTAATAATATTATTCTATTCAGGCATGAAATCCTCTTACCTTCGGTACCGGTTCGGAACTGGGAATGTTCGCACGCTGCGCTTCTGCACATACGCAGAACCTTCTGTGCATGCGCAGAGCATCCGTGATGATGTCTGGGCAGGTGGGTGGAGCCTCCTGCCGCTGCCACTACCGGTTCATTCGAACCGGCTTGAACCTGCTGAATATCACCTCTGATTCTATTCCCCCATTTCTTTGATGTTAGTGTGATTGGTGTCCTGAAGTGAGTTGTCCCACGGTACCTTGGCTGCCACGAGTTGGCCACAATAAATTGGTTGTAGCGAGTTATCATAAACCCGTCTCCCTTAGCCAATTGTAGAGTTCTAAATGACCCAGAGGATCTGTTCGGTTATACAAACTAGCAGTGTGTGTGTTTAGCTTTGTGATGATGAGATGGGACGAATTTCATAGGGGAGGACATCCATGACCATACGATTATGCTTCTCCAGTTGGCAAACCAAATGAAGAAGGGACATCAATCTGCCAGGCAAACTGCACACTGTGACAGGAGAGGCCACTTGGTATATGTATGTGTATGTGTGGGAAACACATTGCCTGGAGAAGCTTAGCTTCCAGATATCGTGAAAGCCAGATACCAAATGCAAGACAATGTACATTGTTAGGGATTTCAATTTTTATTCTGGATCTACACTTTCCCTTCTGATTCTTAGGTGCATATGTGACGGCTGCCACCTTGACAGACCCCAGAGATTGAAACGGGGACCTCCAGAGCTGAAAGCGTGAGTCTCTACAGCTAAAGAGCCAGGCTCTGAAACAGGCTGTAAAAGACTCTTGATGTCTTTTTGTGGACTAGCCGCACAAAGGGAAAATTTATATGGAGAGATAGATCCCTTCCCTCCAGCCCAGGTTTCCCTAGATCGTTCCCTGGGTTGAGCCAATCAGGAATATCTTATGTTCTTTAGCTCTCCAATTGTTTCAGGGTTAGAAAAAGATGCATCAGATTATTATTTTTCTGCCTGAGATAGAATAGCAACTACACGCCCTATCTCCAAACCAAGGTGCATCGTATTTAATATTGATCGGGGTTTTTTCTTAAGCTAAAAGAAGAGATAGATCATAATAAGGATTTATAGACGTCCAGGGTATCCATTGGGGGAAGACAAGGAAGGTAGTTGAGGACCCAGGTGTGATGACATCCATCATGCCAACCCTACAACCTCATACCCTGTTTCCCCGAAAATAAGACGAGGATAATAAGCCCAATCGGGCTTTTGAGCACATGCATTTAAATTAGCCCTCTCCTGAAAATATTGCAACACAGCAGCAGCCATGAGATGATCCCATCGCTGTCTCCTGCACCTCAAAAATAATAAGGCCTCCCCAAAAATAAGACCAAACGCTAATTTCAGGGGTCAAAAGAAAATAAGATCCTGTCTTAATTGCGGGGAAACACAGTACTTGTTTTTTAGACCATTATGATGCAACTATGTTGTCATTGACTGAATTCATTATTGTATTTGTGTCATCATTATTACATCATCATGGTTTGTTGCAGACCCTGCTGAAGTCCCTGGAAGATGCTTTTTATTATTTTTTTAATGCAATGAAGATTAAATTATTTGATGCTTGCAGGATCCAATCTGAGTCGGTCACCGGGACCAGAGGTTTAGTCTTTTGAGCTTTTGGACTCGTGCTGCAGCCCATCCTCGGGGAATGTCCGTCTCACCGGAATGTGTGCTTTGGGCTATTCTATGCATAGTATTTATGTGGTGGCTGGTTGTGTGTGACTAATTAGCTGGTGATTGGGGTGTTGATGGCCAGCTATTAAGTCATTGGTGGTTGTTACTTTGTACTCCCAAGTCCTCTGCCTCCTAAGCACTTGATAAACTGGTGATAAATGAACACTCCTGTTGACTGACCAAGGGGCCTGTTTCCCAGGCTTCAGTCATTTCCTTGGCTGTTTTTGTACCTGCTCGGCCAATATTGTGGCTTAATGACTCCAGCACAAGTCCAAATGCTCGGAAGAGTAAACCTCTGGTCCTGTTGACCAACCCAAATTGAATCCTGCAACATTATCCTGGGTCATATACATATATATATGCCTTCATTCATCTTTGAGGCTTAGCTACCCAATGGTAGGCTTGATTGGGGATGTTTGCAAATCGTTCATTTGTTTCTTCTCTTCGGTTATGGTGGGAAATGTTGTGGACAACCTCATGGCAGATCAAGAGAAGCAGCAAACTGAAAACACACCAAGAGGCATAGGAAACCTTTGCAAAAAGAACTTATGGGTACAATAGAACCTCTGGTCACGATCATAATTTGTTCCATAACTTTGGTTGCAACCCGATTTGGTAGTGACCTGAACCTAATTTTGGAAATTTGGCACACAAAAAAAAAGGCACCGAAGGGGAAATCAGTTGCGGGGGAAAAAATTGTGAATTTTTTGGTCGGAACCCGATTTGGTCATTGTCAAAAGCGTTTGTGACTAGAAGTTCTACCGTATTTCAGACCTCTCCACCGAAGTCAGTCAGTCCAGCTTTAGATGTCTACATTCTGGAGTTTCCTAACACGTTTTAGGAAAGTATATAGATAAATACCATGATCTGGCACATGAATTTTTAAACTTTGGCAGGCCAAGGGCCCTGTTAATTGGCTTTTGTTTTGCTTCAAATTTTTCTTCAATTTCAGACAGGGTCAAGAGTTCCAGTGGTAGAAAATTGGTTGCCTTTTGACTGAACTTTTTTCCTCCCCTTTTTTTATTCTTTTACCAAAACCCACCAGGTTCTCAAAGAACTTAGAGAATTGAGATTTAAATGGCAGATAAAAGAGTATGGCATTCATATTTCCAGATTTCAATATTTACAATGACGATTTGCATCATTCTAAGATCTAATTCTACCTCTCAGATTTGAAATGAATAATGTCTTATGTAGAGATGACCTAAGATAGAGTTCCACTTTCTGATATTTTGACTCTCCTTCCCATTCTCCATTTTTTTTTAAAAAAAATATCTCTCAATAACGAAGTCCATTAAGGGTGCTATTTGGTGCATAGCATGATAGTTTATTTTAGCTGTCTAGTCAACATCTGAAACCATCTTTAGTAGACCCCTTATAAACAACTTTCTATGAATTGTTTTCGAGGAAGTCTTTATATTTTCTAATGAAGTTTTCTTTCCTTTACACCTATGACATCTATTCCTCTTTAAGCATGGAATACACCCTTGCTAAAGGGTTACCCTCAACAAAAAGATTCTTAACAATCAATCATTGTTAAGAAGAAATTTCAAACTCAGACCCATTTAGTTTTTTCCATACGTGTCCTTCCTTTTTCTGTTCCTTTTCCATCGTTCAGTTTCAGCCAGTAAGACTTGTTGACCTTATCCAATGTTGGTCATTTGGACTCGCACACTTAGCAAAGAATGGAAGCTGCACAACAAGTGTTTAATCCTCGTGAACACAAACATTTCCAGTCCTTAGAGCCGAGGTGGTGCAGTGGTTAGAGTGCAATACTGCAGGCTACTTCAGCTGCCTGTAATTTGGCAGTTTATCTCCCGAGGCTCAAGGTTGACTCAGCCTTCCATCCTTCCGAGGTGGGTAAAATGAGGACCCAGATTGTTGGGGGCAAATTGGCTGACTCTGTAAACCGCTTAGAGAGGGCTGTAAAAGCATTATGGTTACGTCCAACCTGAGATGCTATTTAATTGTATAAATATTGGCGTTCTCAACATTTCGTAGTCGTATGTCCATCGCTGGCTATCCCTTGTCGTCTTTTTCAAAGAAGTGATAGGCGTGTTTGTCACTCATACAGATTAAACACATATAAGGGGGGGAAATGACAGAAAAGAGGAATCCGTTTTAATGCACGTTATTGTGGGCATGAATTAGGCAAGTACGGATAGTCCTTGACTTACAACAGTTTGTTTAGTGACCATTTGAAGTTACGACAGCACCAAAAGAATGATGCGTGCCCATTTTTCACACAACTGTTGCGGCCTCCCCAAGGTCACGTGATCAAAATTCACACACTTGTCAACTGACTCATATTTATGACGGGGTCACAGTATCCTGGGGTCACGCGATCCCCTTTTGTGACCTTCTGACAAGCCAAGTCAATGGGGAAGCCAGATTCACTTAACAAACACGTTCTTAACTTAACAACTGCAGTGATTCACTTAACGACTGTGGTGAAGGAAGTTGCAAAATAAGACAAAACTCATTTAACAAACATCTCACTTAGCAAGGGAAATGTGGGTCTCAGTTGTGGTCGTAAGTCGAGGACTACCTGTAGTAGGTAAAATACGTCCATGAGGAAAATCGTACAAGAGCAGGAAGGTTACTATAGTGAATTTGAAACGTCATAGCTATAGGCCAGTGATGGCAAACCTTTTCGGCACTGAGAGCCCAAACCGCAATGCGCATGCATGTGTGCCTGAGTGACAGAAACCCACAGATCAGTTGGCCAGTGTACAAGGGCATGCCAGCCAGCTAGTCTTCTGGTTTCCGGCACGCACCAGCACTTGCCTGATTGTTTTTGGGCCGTATTTCAGGCTGTTTTGGAGGGGCATTTTTGGGCTGTTTTTTGAGCCAAAAACGGGCCAAAAACAGCCTGAAAATGGCCCAGAAAACAACCTGGAAATGGCCCAGGAAACAACCTGCTTTTGGGCTGCTTTTCAGGCTGTTTTAAGGCTGTTTGGGGGGGGGCATTTTTGGGCTGTTTTTCAGGTCAAAAACCACCTGAAAATGGCCCTTAAAACAGCCTGAAAATGACCCAGAAAACAGCCTGGAAATGGCCCAGAAAACAACCTGTTTTGGGGGCTGCTTTTCAGGATGTTTTAAGGCTGTTTTGGGGGGTATTTTTGGACTGTTTTTCAGGCCAAAATCAGGCCAAAAACAACCTGAAAATGTCCCTTAAAACAGCCTGAAAATGGTCCTTAAAACAGCCTGAAAATGGTCCTTAAAACAGCCTGAAAATGACCCAGAAAACATGAAAATGGCCTGGAAAACGGCCTGTTTTTTGGGTTGCTTTTTGGGCCATTTTCCAGTGTTCCGGCACCCATGAAGACCAACTGGTGACGGTGTGCATACCCACAGAGAGGGTTCCGTGTGCCACCTCTGCCACATGTGCCATCATGGCTATAGGTTGTAAGATGAAGTAAACACGATTTCTGCTGTATTCAGTCCTAGGACAGGTGAGACCATGGAGACTTAGATGGCGGTATACAATTCCTACCTTAGTCTGTTAACCTCGACTCATCTGTAAAAGGGAGTTGTAATAAGACCCCCACCTATAAATCTGATCAGCAAATCTAATTTATAAGAATGGGTGATCTTAGCGGTGACAGAAAATAAATAATTTTTATTAACTCGGGTTTTAATAATACAATCATTCACTTTTATATGGGTCTTTTTTAACATTCCAAGCTATTACTTGTATTATTTTATCTCATTTATTTACCTGTATGTCATTTTTGTCATTCTCACAAATAACTCAAGGCAACAAACACACACACACACACACACACACACACACACACATACACAATGTTCCTTCGTCCTCCTACTTCCCCCACAACAACCAACTTGTGAGCGGAATTGGGCAGAGAAAGAGGGACTGGCCCAAAGTCGCCCACTTAGCTTTCATGCCTTCGGTAGTACTAGAACTCACAGTCTCCTGTTTTCTAGCCTGGTGCCTTAACAACTAGGCCAAATGAGCTCCTATGGGTAGTCTTCAACTTACAACAATTCGTTTTAGTGACAACGGCACTGAAAAAATGTGACCTATGACTGTTTTTGTAGTATCCCCATAGGCACACGATCACGATCAAAATTCAGATGCTTGGCAATTGGTTCATACTTATGACCATTGCAGCGCTCCGGCGTCACGTGATCCCCTTCTGATGAGCAAAGTCAATGGGGAAGCCAGATTCACTTAACAACCGGGTTACTAACTTAAAAGCTGCAGTGATCAAATGAATATATGCCAGCTGTATGCTGCAGCAGCCAAAAAAGCTAATACAATCCTGGGTTGTATAAACAGAGGCATAGAATCAAGATCACGTGATTAGTACCGCTTTATAAAACCCTAGTAAGACCACACCTGGAATACTGCAACTGATTTTGGTCACCAGACTATAAAACAGATGTTGAGACTTTGGGAAAAGTTCAGAGAAAAGCAACTAAGATGATCAAAGGCCCGGAGACCAAAACATAGGATTGGGGTCTGGCTAGTCTAAAGAAAAGAAGAATTAGTGGTGACATCATAGCAGTATTCCAGTACTTAAGGAGCTGCCACAAAGAAGAGGGGGTCAAATTATTCTCCAAAGCATTGCAGAAATCATGGGCGCTCCATCACTGTAGGTTTTCAAGAAGAGTCTAGACAGTCATTTATCTGAAATAGCATAGGTTCTCCTGCTTGAGCAGGGGGCTGGACTAGAAGACCTCCAAGGTCCCTTCCAGCTCATTCATTTTAAGTTTTGGGATTGGGTGAGCCTATGGCTCACCTCAGTATTGTTATTTCCAAATTGAGAAGGGTGGAGAAAAAGCAGAATGCCAAGACAGTTGTAAATCAGGATAAAATTTCAGTAAGGACTTTGTAGACCAAAGCTGAGTCTTAGCTACTATTCCCCCGGTAGTTTTCATACAGTTCACAAATCGCATTTTTGGCTTGTTCAGGATGGGATGGACGTCCAATATGAAATGGCTCTGTAATTTTTGTTCAATCACGAGCCACGGTGGCACAGTGGTTAGAGTGCAGTACAGCAGGCTACTTCTGCTGACTGCCAGCTGACTGCAATTTGGCAGTTCGAATCTCACCAGGCTCAAGGTTGACTCAGCCTTCCATCCTTCCGAGGTGGCTAAAATGAGGACCCAGATTGTTGGGGGCAAAAGGCTGACTCTGTGAACCACTTAGAGAGGGCTGTAAAAGCACTATGAAGCGGTATATAAGTCTAAGTGCTATTGCTATTGATTAAGTCTTCCTTCTTTCCTTCCTTCCTTCCTTCCCCAGTGGTTAGATTGCAGTATTGCAGGCTAACTCTGCCCACTGCCAGGAGTTCAATCCTGATCAGCTCAAGGTTGACTCAGCCTTCCATCCTTCTGAGGGTGATAAAATTAGGACCTAGATTGTTGGGGGCAATAGGCTGACTCTGTAAACCACTTAGAGAGGGTTGTAAAGCATTGTGAAGTGGTATATAAGTCTAAATGCTATTGCTATCAAAGGATTGTTTTGAGCCAGGGTAGAAAATGCTGGCGTGAAGGGACACACAAGCTTGCAGCAAAGCTCAGATGGCCAGAGATTTCAGCAAGTGACACTGGCCTCCCTCAACTTACAACTATTCTAAGTTCCCACAGCAGTCAAAAAAAGTGACTGATGACTTTCACGCTTATGACTGTTGCAAACATCCCCACCAGAATTCACGTGCTTGTCAACTGGCATGTATTTATGACAGTTGTACCATCCTGCGTTCAGACAGTCACATTTTGTAACTTTCCCAGCTGACTTCTCTGACAAAGCAAACTCAAACGAGGGAAAGGTGGATTAGCTCAACCACCATGCAGTCCACTTCAGGGATTAACAACTGCGGCAAACCAAGAACATAAAAACGAGGCCCCTCTCATTCATTTAACAGGTGCCTCGCTTAGCAACCGAAACGCTGGGCTCAGTTATGGCTGTAAGTCGAGGGCTGCCTGTAAACCATGCAAAGCCAAAATCCTCATGTATTCTGTCAGGTACTCACATCCCCCTCCCCCCAAAAATGCTTTGCCAGGGACTATTTTGACAGGTAGGCAAACATGACAAATTTTGCACCCCAACATTTGCACCTCACCAGGTTTCATCCCCATTTGCTTTTTGTCCTCGTTGTCATACACATTCTGTGCTCCCTCTTCAATTTCTATGTATTTCTTCTCTTCCCAGCTCCCCGCTCTTCTCTGCAGTCCAATGAACTCCCATCAAGGTTATCTATGTCAGGAAGGTTCATCATGAAGGGAGGATATTTGTAGCTCAGGGTTGACACGAGGGGGTCCTTGGTGCTCTCTGAGTTTGCTTTGTTTTCTTGCAGACGTTTCATGACCCAAACTAATTAACATCATTGTCAGAGTTTGTTGCATAAATTCAAATCCAGAAAGCCCACACAGATACCTGATGCAGCAGGATTCATTAACTTCTTTATATACATAAGAATAGATGAATAAATGTATAATACAAACTGGTGGTCCTTCCAAGTAAACACAAGCCAGGAGAGTTACAGACAAACATAAGCACTTAGTTTCATATCAGCAGTCAAGCCCAAGACAGACTGCTTGTTTACTTCTCAGAGCAGCAAACTGCTTAAGTTTCTGTTTCAATTCTCTGCACAGACTCAGATTTGTTCAAGCTCCCATTGGCTGATTTAGTTGCTATGCTTATTCATTGGCTGACCTTGTTACCATGTCTCTCCCAGTCATGAATATTCTAACAAATTTTGGACACTACTGTGTGTGTGTGTGTGTGTATATGTGTGTGTGTGTATATATATGTATATATATACATACACACATACATACATATATATATATATACACACATACATACATATACATACATACATAAATACATAGATACACACACACATCTATCTATCTATTTATATCTATCATATGTGTATGTATGTATGTATGTATATGTGTATGTATGTATGTATGTATGTATGTATGTATGTATGTTGTATTTGTGCTGATAAATATATATTTATATATTTAAAGTCACAACCCCTGGTATGCCCCATTATGGGAGGAAGCTAACTGCTTCCATTCTCTGTCCATTGGCTCGTCACAAGAGACCATCCAGACAGAAAGCCCAATATTTTACTGTTGCCTTTGTTACAAATACTATATATATGGCAGTTAGCTTCCTCCCATAATGGGGCATACCAGGGGTTGTGACTTTAAATATATAAATATATATTTATCAGCACAAATAAAAACACACACATATATATATATATATATATATATATAGATAGATAGATAGATAGATAGATAGATAGATAGATAGATAGATAGATAGATAGATAGATAGATA